TAATAAATGTTTATTAAAATTGATGATTTTGTTTGTAAAATATGCAAGTGAAAAGTGATAGTTTCTCTAATAATAAAAAATAAAAAAAGTATTATCATATAATTATAATTATGATATTGTATGATTTGAATATTATTTTAGTTTTTTAATTATTAAAAATGATGTTTCAAAGGCTAAATTGGACATTCAATCAAAAAAGTAAATGATTCTTAATTTTTATGATTTAACTAATTAGACTAGTGCTTGACCTTGTACTATAATAATTAAATAAAAATAATATTAAATATATATATATATATATATATAATAAATATAAAAAAGAAATCTATGATATGTTAATAATAACATGACTATAAATTAATAATATTATAAATTAAATTTTTTTATTACATTTATGAATTAAAATTTTATAACTTATTAAATATAGGTGAATTTTGATTAAATTAGATATAAGTAAATTAAAAAATATCTACATTTATAATTATAACTGTCAACTCTTATTTTTGACTTAATAGTAGCTTTATTTCAATTCAATTCAGCTCAATTATGAACATGATTTTTTAATTCAATTGAGCCGTTAATAACTTTGGTCAATAGTTGAAATCATTTGATTTAATCTGATTTTTAAATCATTGTTTAAAAGGATCTTTAATCTTTTCATTCTTTTCAAAATATAATTATTAAAGAAAACATTATTCCTTGACTTGATCATTTTGGTTGCACACTAATCAAATTTTGCGAGGTTTCTTTTGGCCATCCAAATTTTCTTGTGTTAAAACTATTTCATAGCTCACGAATACTTTTGCTGGCAACGTATTTTGCAGTCGCGTATTCCTTCCAATTTTAAATATAGGTCATCATTACTTAACCCATTAAAACTAACAAAAGCAGTTAAAATAATCAAATTTATTAGAAAATAAATATCATGCTTAATAAATAGCCCATTTAATAATTAAAATACTACCATTAAATTAATGAAATGGTCGCCTCATGAGTCCTGACTTCTCCATGAAAGTTATTGAGGAACATTTTTCGGGGGAAAAATAATGTCCAAGCTGACTCTAGGGAGAATGACATATAGGAACATTTCTACCCACATTATATGGGGGCAAAAGTGTCACAAAATCACTAAATTAATACCATAGTATTTACTATGAAGTGGCTAAATCACTAAACAAAATTAGGTTTACATAATGATGCTTTTAGATTTTTCTACAACCAACCAGACAATATTTCCTATTAATCACTAACGAGCACATAACTAATATGAGAGTTGTATTAAGTTAATTGGTAGTTTCAAATTCAAATTCAAATTCTAGGCATGTAGTTGTGTTAGTACTCATTGAGAGAGTTTTGCCACTAATGAAATCCTAACCAGTTATGTTCATGAATAATAGTTAATTATGTAAAAAGAACATTTCAATTAGTTAATCTCATTATAATTTCGTGGATGAGAAAAAGTATATAGCTCTAGATATGCAAGTTCCCACCACACATAGGTGTATGCAAAATAAATAGATTTCGAGTGCCAACATGTGTTTGTGTCTATGTATTAATTCGATGTTGTTTCACATCGTTGTGATATATGTGGCTGTCAATTACAGATCAAAAAGAAAAATCTTATAAAACTCATGAAAGAAAAGGAAAAATCCCTAAAGCCCTACCACACCTTCTTTTAATATAGTTTGAGTTTGAGTATCTTCAAGTTTTGAAAATAAAATATTAAATTAATTAAGCACTGTCATCAGTAAAATATATTAAAAAAAATACAAGTAAAACACGCTTCTCAATTTTCATGAACACAAATCTACACGGCTAATCTCGAATTCTATTTAAATATTATATACACCAAAGCGTACAAAATATAATCGGTCTAATTTTTATAAATTAAAGTATGTAATAAAGATAAAAAGTGATGGCGTATCAAATCAAATATACTTGACGTAGAAAGGCATGGGACCAAAGAGCAAAGAGTGGAAGGTTCAGACATGACAAGTGTTGAACTCTATATATTATACATATTAATATAGTCGGAATGTTGGATTGGATTAGTACTATAATATACACATACAAATGTGTGTGTGTGTGTGTGTGTGGAGTTGTGGTGGTGACAAAGACAACAATCTAAATAAAGCGAAAGAGTGATGGCGAGGACAAAGTGAGAATACAACAATGTTGATTTGCTGAGTGCAAGTGGGAGCTGAGGAACATGCAAATCAAAAAAGGAGGGGGGTAGCACCAAAACTTACACATGATATTTGACCCTAAAAAAAACAAAAAAACCTGAAGGCCCTTGATTTATTGAGAAATTCTTGCACAATTTGGTGTATCATATTATTCATGATTGTATATATTTTTAGACTTTTCTATAATAACTTCTTTCCTTATTAAACTTGAGGAATATAATATAAAAATAAAATATATAAAATATTTTAAAATTTTAATAATTAAGAAAAATTTAGATAATTTTTGTTTTGCTAAACACGTCTCACCCCTATAGTTTGTCCGAATTTTTTTCATTATAAATACAATAAAGATTTTCATTCGTGTCATCCCTTTTTTATTATAAATTTTATGACTTTTGTTTTGCTCAATGTTTAGTTTTTTTAAAAAAATTTGATATAGTATTAAAGCCAATTTCATTCTGTGTAGCATACTTTGACCAAATATCAATATTGCTGAAGCTGTTAATTAGAATTAATCTTGTCAAGTCTTTTTAAGTCTAAAAAAATTTAAAGTTGGGCCGCTACTTTAAAATATAAAATCACAATTCAAACTTAAAATGATAGACCCTTTTAACCGCTAAAATAAAATAGAAGACTTTTTAAACTCTTTTATAATTTTTTTTAAATTTTTATATTGAAGAAAAATAAATGTTCTACTAATTTTAAAACCTTTGCCTCATTTCACGAGGATAAAGAAGAAATATATGAAAAGTTTAATACATTTATCATTGATGAGGCTTCACAAGAAAAATGATTAAATTATATTGATATTGATGGCAATAAAAATTATCAAGATTTAATTGATGATGCCAGTAAAATTGAATTGTTATCGGTGTTTATTTTGTAACGATTTTTTTTAATAGACTTAAATTTAGTATTGACTTAAATTTATTTTTTAAATTTAATGCTATCTGTAATAACTTTTTGAGATTTTAAATATATTTGTTATATTTTTAAATAAAAAATAAAAAATAAAAAAATAGGGCTAGAGCTGAATTGATCAAAATAGAGCTCTGAAATATAAATAAATTTAACTGGAACAGCTCGTTTAGGCCTTAATTCTTTAGGAGATCTAATTGACAGCTCTAAACATTGCACATTATATCTAAATCTTTTGAAATCTAGATTACACGAATACTAATACACATACATATATAATCCTTTATAATAATATCAAGTAAAATATAATCATTAATTATATTTTTATTTTATCTATATTTAATTGTCTACCACCTAGTCCCTACTAATAAAAATAGTATCAATATTTCTTCCTTCTCAACCATTATAAGATTACATTTTCACGTTTTTATAATTAAGAAAAATATAACATTTGTTCTTTTATACATTCAAAACTTAATTTTTTAAGGAAAATATAATCTTTGACTTTAAAAGCAAACTAAAAAATGATATTAGTAATAAAAAGCTTAACATTACAAGTCTTAATAATTTTTTTAATTTTTAGTTTTTAAGTATCAATTAGCAATCTAGAAATATCAAACATGTATAAAATTTAAATTTTCTAAAATTAAAAAAAAATATCTTGATACTTTATAAATACATATAAAAATAGTATTAGTATCAGATATGATACTACGGATATGTGAGGTAATTTAAAGCATTGATACTTCATAGCTTGATGTCAATTGAATTTTCCATGTTATTATATGGCTTAAGATTTTGTTTGGTTAGGATAAACTTATAATATTGCCATTAAAATTATTACTATCATTAATATTTTTGAAGCAGCTATAAGCTCTTTAGAATTGATGACAAAGACAGTGGTTAAGTCTGCTAAGATAAATTTGTCTCTGAGTTTGAAGAACATAGCCAAAAAAAAGACTTCATTTATTTTGGAGGTGCGGTGATCAACAAAAGACTTGAATTGAAAATTTAAAATAATAACATTTTTTTTTTTTATACAAATAGCATTTTGACAAGGAAAGCTCGTTTTACATTTGGAAACAAATTGTCCGCTTCATCCATCAATATCAGACCGGCCTTTTGGAGAAATTTGTGGACCGGGCCATACCCTCAAGATGGGGTTAAAGAGTTGGAAAAATGACAGAAAACCCACCTAAATACGTGAATGATAGAAAGTTGCTATCCATTGAAATAATTATTTTTTTTATAACTTTTGAATAGATAAATTTATATTTATATTTAAATTTCATGTATTTAAAAGTTTTTACTTGAATAGTTTAAAATATTTTAAATGAAGAAAAGAGATGAATTAATGTTCTAAACAAAATAAAAAATAAAAAATGACAAGTTTATTTTTAATAAAAAATGATAAGTTTATTTTATTTTTTAATAAAAAAAGAGAAAATATATGAAAGCTATACAAATATTAAAAAGTGAAACGCTGAAGAGAATAATATGTTTGAAGTAATTAAAATTTTAAATAATTAAGATGGTAAAAAATTTTAAAATTATAAATGAATTATACTTTAAAATAGATTTAAATTTTAATCAAGCCCAAATTTAAAAATTTTTGTGCATACAAATAAAAAATTTGATCCAAATTTAAATTTAAATCTTTATTAATCCAAATACACTATTAAGGGAGAATGACCAAAAAAAATACCCTAAAAAAAAACAATTAAGCATCATGATGTAATAATTATTATTTAATTTCGAGAGAAACTTGTTTGGAGTTCTAATTGTTGATGAAATAACGTATTTACCCTCAATAGTTATTATAAGAAATCACTACATTATGTTATTAACCAAATATAATAAAAAATGAGTACTTCCTACAAATTTGTAATTTGCAAATGAACCATAAAATGACTACTTCCTTTCTAAAATATTAAATATGCTACAAAGCTCGAGCCATCAATTCCAAATTTTGTCGATACAAGAATGATTCATGAATGTTTCCCCTCTCCCAAAACATGAGATACATTATTATTATATCATCATTATACAAGAGGATCAAAATTCTTCAGCTGCAAAGAGAATCTTCATGATTTCATTGAGTTCTCAAGGCCTTGATCCAATCAAGTTCAACTCTGAAATCACCAGGTCCAGATCTTGCACCTGGGACGCCACCCTCAGCATTGACAGAGAGAGACATGCCAAGAATGCGAGATGGGTTCATTTCCATCTCTTCATCGATAACGTTCCCTCTCCAAGTAGGTAAATATCGAGCAAGAGGAATCTGATAAGTCAACGAAAACGCTAAGCAAATATTGAAACTGTCGAAATTCACTAACCAAAACAAACGCAGAACCATATGCAAGTTAGAGTATTTCAGTAGCCAGTCTGGGCCTATCATGTTGCAGGGGATTATCACGTGTGGGAAATGAGAACAAACAAACAAAATCCAGCTACAAGTTACTGTCTTGTTTGTGTTCAAACAACTTAAATCAGGGCTTCCAAAACCTGGTTTACTCAGTAATTAACAATTTCAAGCTTATTTTAGCAATGCGACGTAGCATGACTAACAAAAAAGTCTGTAAATGTCTTTCATAATTAACTAAGCAGACATTCTTCTCGGGAATTTGGAGGTTATTGAAATTATAAAATGAATTGGCATCAGGCTTTGTATGCACTAGGGGAAAAATGGGCCTTACTTTTGCAATATACCAGTTGTCTTTGGGAATAAAAACAAAAGCTTGCCACGAATTATCCTCCTGCTCTCCAGGTGAACATACCCAATTTTCTGTGTAGATCTGCACCAAAATTAGACAAGTTAAAGCACTTGGAACTTGGAAGGGTACTTAGAAATAGAATTTAAAGCCTCTGCATTCTCCTAATATTGTATCTTGACTTTGAGAGAGAAATGGCACTCACAGTAGATATATAGCATCTTCCATCTCCTTTGAGTTTCATCGCAATAGTATCGTACGAATCCAAATCTATAAATCCATCAAACTGCAAAGGCACAAAAAACCGACGAACGATGTAGCACAATATTGAGTCGAATGAATATAAAGGAGGCCACAGGGGAGCAGGACAGCAAGACCATGAAAGCATTCTCATATTCAAAACCCAAAGAATGATACTAATATTTTTTTTTTTTTGGGGGGGGGGGGGAGGGGGTTCTAATATTGTTGATGTAGTTAGTGTAAAACAGCTACTAATAATTGTTTTAATTTGGAGAAACAAAATCCAGCATTCATATGGAATCAACTCTAACCATTAGCAGAGATTTCAATTCTACCTTAACAGTTAACAGATCAAGGAAAGAAGATTTATTTATTTCAGCTCTAACTCCAGAGAACCCCCCCTCCCTTCTCTCTTTTAACTGTAGAAAAGAAGCAAACACCTTTTTGGATCGCATTCCACAGAAGCCGCTTCTTATCATATTCCATTTTGAATCCTGAGACACATCTAAAGAAAGGTTTCCCGAGAAGATCCCTATCAGAAGATATCAGATCTTGTAAGGATACAAAAGCAAGTCTTTCACCACTTGTCAACCAACTGCCGCCCCCCTTTCACCAAACAAAGAAGAGTCACAGAACTCTAGCAAATGCCACACGATTTATAAGTGCAAGTGTAAAATATGCCATAGAAATGTGAACCTTGAAGCTTGATCTATGAAGTATGTTTTATGTATTTCCTAAATTCAATCTGCAAACATTAAAATAATCTTACAGATGAAACATGACAGTATATTACCTTTTATTTTTTAAATATTCACTAAAAAAAATAGATTCTATATACGTTTCACTAGGAAAAGGTAAAAAACGAACAAATACTAATTGTAAATTTTTTGGGCAAGAAATCTGGGGTTCCTTATGTGTATAAAAGCTATTTCTCATTAATCCAGCACCCAAATACTGAGACATTATTGTGTTTTAAAGCCATTTGCGTCTATAAAAGTACACAATAACTCAACTTCATGGGTAGTAGTATAGTTTCAAAGGATATGGTTTCTGCTTGAAACCTGTTGCCAATCACAATCAAACAGCTTACTACACGCAGGTAATGGATATAATAGGCAATGATAACAAGAGCAGTCTAAGGGAAAACTAAGCTGGCATTACCACTCGGTCCATTTTCTGATTCAGTTATCTCCAATGATGCCGAGGACAAACCTGGATTACAATTGGTTATACACAGTTAAGTTGTTGTCAAGGCTTTTATATGTAACAATCCTCCATTTGCAAATATAAACATGAATCAATAACCGTTGCATAACAAACATGAAGGAAGCATTGCATCTTCTTCAAATCTAGAACCATGCCATCATGCTGAGAGGTTCTTCAGAGGGTTTGCTCAATCCACCAAATATTTAAAAGATCATATCCAGAACCATTTCATTTAGGTAGATTGGTTGGACGCTCATCCACAATAAACCTTTACAGTTCAGACCATATTTTTTATTTCACAAACATAATTTCGATTTAATTTTCATTCCCAACCATATGATTCACAGCTACTTTGCAAATTAAGATCAAGACTTGCTTTAAGAATTCTGAAATGCAGATTAAAGCTGATACGTAAATATTAAAAAATATATGAGTTAGTTAAGTTGAGGGTTGTGTTTGTTATGTTCATTAGTCAAACATCTATATGTAGGATCCTTAGCCTAAGGTTGTACACTATTGATTTTCCAATGTTCAGAAGGAATATTCGAAATTCTCGCCTCTGTTTCTCTCTTTCTCCCTTCTACCTGTCAATCGTCTTTCTCTCTTTATCATCTTCTATCTTATCAGTAGTATCAAATTTTGATCCTGGGACCTGTGGGTTACGGGCCCACCATACTTCTGCTGCAGTGGTGGATAGAGTGAGCAAATATGCCCGTTTATTGGCTCTTTCTCATTCTTTTTCAGCATCTACACTAGCTCAAGGATTCTTGGATCATATTTACAGATTGCATGGGGCTCCAGTTGAAGTAGTAAGTGATAGAGATCCAGTGTTCATTAGTAATTTCTGGAAAGAGTTTCTTAAAGTGATTAAAGTGGAGCAAAGCTCACTTCTTACTATTCTCAAACAAATGGGCAATCCGAGATACTAAATCAATGTTTGGAGACTTATCTTCGATGTATGTGTTGGGAAAGTCCTAAAGCACTGGCCAAATGGTGGCACAACACTAGCTTTCACACTTCTATTAAAGCTACTCCTTATAATTGCTCTGTGGGCAGAAACTACCAATTTACACTCCTTGCTTGCCTAGAGGCTGTAGGTCGCAGTTTTGAAGCTAGAGAGCGAATGATTGGGGTTCTAAAGCATCACCTACACAGGGAAACAAGCCAAATGAAGGAGAAGGCTGATTTAAAGTGATCTGATTGAGAGTTTGAAGTTGGGCAGTGGATTTTCTTGAAGTTACAGCCTTATAGGCAGATCTCTCTTGCCTCTAGAAGCACTCATAAGTTGGCAAACAAGGTATTTTGGGCCCTGTAAGGTGCTAAGAAGATCAGGGAAGGTTGCCTACAAGCTGGAATTGCCTCATGAATTTAGAATTTATTCCACGTTTCATGTGTCTCTCCTCAAGTTGTGTCCAGATCCTTTAGTGAAGCAAAGCCATCCACCTGAAGATTGGCCAGAGGTTCCAAAATTGTTATTTCTAAGAAATATTGAATAAAAGAGTGGGAAGGAAGAAAGGCAGAATCATCACAGAGATTTTGGTCCAGTGGAGAGGCTTGCCTGATGAAGAAGCTACTTGGATGTCTCAATTTAATTTTCAGAGACAGTTTCCAATTTTCCTATTGCTGACCCTTGAGGACAAGGGTGTTTTAGGGTGGAAGTACTGATATGTAAAAATAATAAATATATATGACTTATGAGTTAGTTAGGTTGAGGATTATGTTCAGTAGTCAGACATCTATATATAGGATCCTTAGCCTAAGGTTGTAGGCTATTGATTTTCTAATGTTCAGAA